ACACGCCATTTTCTTGTCAGTTGTTTAATCCTTGCTTTCATTTAAACATGCACCACATCACAGAAATAGTATTAATGCATCTTTCTTTGATCGTGTAATCTTCAGTGAAGATTCTTCTAACACAGCATGAGCTTCTTCAAAAACTTCTACTGTAGTATTCTTGCTTTCATTATACAAGAACGTTCATTGTTCATTATTTGCACAACAGCACTAAACTTGAAAGGTTTTCACTGAAAAATCAGACGGACGAAAGCACATCCACCAGTTCATCGAAGCTCTCTTTTGACACTCCATCTCGGGAACTCTTACCAATGAGATAGCTGTCATGCATTTCTTCGCACAACGTTCGATAGCTGTCGTGATATGGAATTGCAATAAAATCTTGATAGGTTGCTAATACTTGAGCTACTGTTTCTTCTTGTAATCTCGATGTCAAAGATTTTTCTTTAGGTTTTATCCCTACAGTTAAGCTAAACAGAAACTCTTCAAGTTCATCTATAATACCATACGGCATTAATTCCTGGGCTCGACTGAAATATTTCTCAAAATCCTCTTTCAAACATGGTCGTGATGAGTAATTCCACATAGATTCTTTTGTTTCTTGTTTTTTAACTAAAGAAATATTGCTTTCAATACACAAAGCATGAAAGCTGCGTAGCAAACTCAATATTTCTGCTGAAATGCTTTCTTGATGGGTTTTAGGAGATTGCTTTAAAATGCGGTTTAGCTCGTCCATATTACAATCTCCGGATTTGATTAATCAGCGTTTTGTAACAAATTCTCAATATTACTTGCAAGTCAGAGCGCAGAGTGACTAACAGGTCAGATTCACTCAATAAATAACCTCTTAGACGAAACAATAGAGAACAAAAGGACTATTGTTCCGAGATTAAGTGTACAAAAGACCTCAATTCGAATAAATTACCAATGCGGGGCACCTCATTAGTATTCTACCAACGTCTCATTAGTATTCTACCATTTTTTCCATTTTTCCATTGCCATTTCCAATGAAAATCGGGGCCCAACTGCTGACTCTATACTATGTCAATCTGAATTCTATTCATTGCAGCATAAATATTCAACCGTTTAAATGTAAATGATAGAAAAGCTTACATTGTAAGTGCTGTTTTATAACTCTCTCTTTTGTTTGGGAGAACAATAGGTTACGTCATTAGTGTGAATAAATTAACTACCTCCTCAAAAAATACTGAATATAATTATTTTCTCCTCTTTTTATGCCCTCCTCAAAATAAGTATGATTTGTTGGTGCGGCCTCTACTACTGGTAAATGTACTGCTGATAATAGCAAATTGATGTTGTCACTCATTGTCTAGGACAGGTCCAGCTGGATAATATAGCCACCCCTAATCCAAATTATGGAAATAGAATCATGATATCAATAATTATATATTATAAATAGAAATAGCGTCTGAGTGATAATCATTTTCGTTTTTCCCTTTGTGACGTTCTGCATCCAGCAATGTCACTTATGTTTGTGTGTTTATATTCATAGAGATCTTTGTCCCTAAATACAGTGAGCTCAGTTGGTTTGATACTCGATGGACTTTTAACTCAATCATGCAGGATAAGGTGAGTTTTCCCAGTCTTCATGACTAACAACATGTTTCTAGTTTTTATATATTAAATGAACCTTGCATCGTTGATGATTTTTGGTATTTTATTACTTCCAAACAAAGCTGTACAATTTTAGATCCGACGTACGGAAGTAACATTGATTTTAACACGGACGGAATGGGCTTACTAAAAGGTGAAAACTGAAACAATTTAAATGGATCCTCAACATAACAATTACCCAGAAAAAGCATCCAATCTATCGTTTTAACGCCAGATGTGGCAGAATCACTGCATACCAAAAAATGTACACGAGCAAGCATTTATGGTCTCCTTCTACTAACTATTATTTAAGTGCTCTGTTAGATCTCTAATAAAAGCCTCTGGACAACTAGTTTCCAGAAGTATTGAAAGTGCATGCTAACGTTCTATTTGCATTTATAATAGTTTTATTCAACGTTTTATTTCCAGGAAGAGTTTCGTTCCTTAATTCAAATGGCAGCTACAAATCAAAAGTTAATTGCTGCTGAAGTAAGAGTTAAAGTACCATTTTTTGTTATTTATTTGTTATGATATAAATACGTTTAATTTCATGTGGTTTTCCTGTCCTTTTTTGGTAAAGAAGCCAGCAAATCAATCAAACTCTTTCAAGTCATCTATATTTAGAGACTTTCCAACATAATGCAGTTTAAATTCAAATAGAAGTTTCAAAATAACAATGTTGAAATATCAGATGTACAACCACTTTCTCTATTTTGGCCTCCTAACTTAGTTTTCTTTGTAAATCGTTGCGGTCAACCAGGGCTTGACATTTGAATTTGGCGCCACGGCTGAAGTCACTCAACCGGAAAATGTCCGCTCATTCTGCCCCATAGATATGCACATATACAACATATATACAGCCTTTTTCAAAAATTATGAGAATTGTCTAAATATCTAAATATCATAATATCCATATCCATATATTGTCCGGAACACGCGGGTTTGCTAAAGAATTCATTGTTGACATCGAGAAAATGTTCAGAACTACGGATAAGTCTGTCGCCAAAAAAAAAACTAAACTACAAAGACAAGGGACTAAAGGGCATCGAGCGGGATTACCCATCATGCACTTGATATTATGATATTTCAACAATTCTCATAATTTTTGCAAAAGGCTGTATATTGAATACATGTATAATGTTAACATAGCCGGGAATTTCAGTTCATCACCCTACCACGTCTACCGTATTTTCTTCAACAAACTCATCGTTTTCACAGATGGGTTGAAGGAGATTGTAGAAAAATCTAATTTTATGTGCTTAAAGAGGGGAGGCAACGTCTAATATTAACTAGAACTGTAATTGGAACTTAAACAACTGTGTCAGATTCTGTGCTTTTTGGCCAAGTACTTATTGAAGTGGAAAACTTTTATTATTTACGAATAACAAATAATTATTCACGAATAATAAATAAATAAATTCACGGGGGAGGGGGGGGGGAGTGAGCGTAATTTATTTCGTTTGCGAGGTGGGTCATAGTTGACTTTTTTGATTTTTTGACTCATTTTTCAACCCTCCCCCCCTTCTCCTGATGAACATTGCGCCGCAGTCGCATTCCCTGTCTATAATATATGTTACCGGTCGGGATTTCGTAAATGATCTAATATCCCATAATTTCTAAATTGCATTCCAATGATTAATTTCTCATAAAAAAGTTATGAAATGGTCATATGTTTTCTTTTTTAAAGTGCCTGTTTAGATTGACACCTGGAAGAGAGTGCTTCAGAAGAGGGGAAATACAGTTTAACCTGAATTTTATCAAAGTTCAAAGTGAAAGGTGAGTACTAAAGGAAATAGTGCTAGTGAAAAACAAAACAAGCAACATCAGTCATTCTGGTTAGTGGATAACATAGTTGCTGTTGTCTTCCAGGACTACGACTGAGGCGTCCATACCTTTTCGCAGTGCTTATGAAGGGGTTTTTTCGAGTCATTCATCACTCATTAGCTATCTTGCTTGGTTTGAAAACGTACGAAGACCTGAACATACACCCGAATTTCATGAAACTACATCAAGGTCGACTAAAAGTGAGAGAACATGATGGTTGTGCTCTGTGATTGTCATATTATTCTCCGCTGGGCCGTAACTAACCTGAGCCCGAGCCAAGGCACTGGCGCTTGTAAGAATTGTTCTGCAAGAACAAAACTTGCTTATGGAAGTTGTCTCGATACACAACTGACATGATTGTCGGATTTGGTTACCATTTTCCCTCGGTTGCTATTTTCGTCTTGTTACGGCCCTGTGGTGGATAGTTTTAATTGTTATTTTTGGTTGAAGGTGAAAGTTGAGGTGACCATAGTATAGATTGAGATTATGTATTCAGATGTCCCTAATGAAATATTTTTTAATACTGAACTGGTCGACCATTTAACGCTTTTGAGGGGTACGTGATTTTGTTTGTGCAAGATGTTGTTTGAGATAGCAAGTGAGTGTTTACCCTGGGGTGAAAAATTCCTTTGCTCGCATTGTAGTGAGGTGCAAAAAATCCTGTGCTCGTAGATATTTGAGAAAATTAAACGAATTAAGTAGTGTTTGACAAGCTGGGTTTTTTCCGGGTGTTAAGGAAATTTTCCCTCCATCAAAAGTCAAATGACTGGCCACTGAGGAAGGACTGTTATAAAATGTGATAAGTTGCACAAAAAGTGAAAACTCCTGGCATAAAATGTCTTAACAGATACAAAGGGTTATACTGACACAAAATCGAATAAAGAATGGAGCAAAGTGTAATTATGTTGTCAAAGAAATGAAACAAATGTATTTATAGTAGTGAAGCTGGTCAAATGAAACAAATGTATTTATAGTAGTGAAGCTGGTCAAAGCAGTAATTGGCTCACGCTGTTGCGGTGTCCCTGCCCATACTAGGGGCAAAGCTAATAATTAAATTAAAATTAAATTAAGGAATTAAGTAAGTACTCGAATATTGCGGCTGTCTAGCCAGTGACATAGAAAGTGATGGCATCGTGCGTGGGAGTAATTTTGAATTTTGAAGCGATGAATTCAACTTTTATTCTGCGCAAAATATACACAACATGCTGATGCATCACAAAATACATGCATTTCCCACAGGCACTGTCTTATCAAGGTTCACATGACAGCGCTGCCATCATACCTTCAATAATGACAAACGACATTATAGAACATCTACTATTGGGAAGGTTAGGAGGTTGACCGCCTCATTGACGATTTGCTTACGAAGCCAGAAAGAGAAGGGAGCAGAGAAAAAAAGCAAAGAAGAGAAGGCTGGCAGCTTCACTTACCAAGGAAAAGAGCTTGCATTATATTTAGATCATTAGGGGGAGAACTGACTGCGAACTTGACTGCAAATCCGACAAACATGGAACCCATAAAATAGATTCCTTCGAAAAAGAACATACTTTGTTCATATCAAAATCTAACAAAGCTTGTTTACGTGATACTTTTAATTCCAAATGCTTCACAGCCCCAGGGGGGGGGGGCACTCCCATATATTTGCTATACGGGGACGTGCCGCTGGCCAGGGTATGGTTTTTGGCCTTGCTGTCTTAATCAGGGTATACATTTCATCCGAAATTGTCTTAAACAGGCTCGACAATTTAGATAAAAGACCGATATATTTTTGTGTGTGTCTTAGACAGGGTAATATTTTCATAAAAAACACCGTAGGAATAGTAGAAATACCGTTTCACTGTACCAGGATTAACGTGTTATCAAAAATTTCTTATTGTCTTTGATGGATGTCAGTATAATTGCACTTCCATTTTTTGTCAGAACTATATTTTCTGCAAGTCTTTACACCGAGTCATTAACAGATCCCGGTTACTTACATATTTATACGGTGTATTGAATGGCACGATAATTTATGTTTTTAAGAAAGTGGAAGCACAAAGCACAAACCAAGTCTGGGTGATTCGGCGTCCATGTACGTTCCGCCCTCTCGTATTGATTTGGATTGCTTGTCCACTACGACTGACAGCACAGTGTATCCTGATGACGGTCCTTACGCTTGTGAAGTGCAAGACAACATACGGTAAAAAACACATGAGATTTTTTAAACCATTGTAATTTACTGATATGATAAAAGCCGCACCATTTTTGAAATCACTTGTAGGTATTCTTTTTGTTTTCTACAGAGATTTCCTACGCTTCATGATATCATCATTGCCAAAGGAGACTGATCTGTTTCCTATGCTTCATTATGTGATTTTATCGCAGTTAGTGGACCAGTAAGTCAAATGTGTATTTCAAAATTCGTTTTGTAGCCCCATGACACTGAAACCGGAAATCCGAGAAATATTTCATTTTGGTTCTGGATCCTTGAATCCAGACACTTCAAATCCGGTAAAACAAGAGGAATCCAATAGGATTTGCAGTCACTAGCTGAATCCAATAGGGTGAAATCCAGAAACTTTGCGAAATCTTTCATGGAATCCGAATATCAAGGAACTTGGATTCCGGAATCCAGGAATACTACGGTTTCGTGGCATAGGGTGAAATTTATCTTGGTATTCTCTTCCAACTATTGGTAACGTAAACCGAGAGAGCTTTATCATTCTTTCATTCTGGCAAATGACCACTGTCATTTTAAACGAGGAATATTGATTGCTGGTGGATCACTCCGGGCCCTTCAAGCATTTTATTGTGTCATTGAAAAGGTTTTGACAGAAAAGCAATTGAAAATTACCTTTGTGGTCCGATTACTTTTTAAGAATTCTATTCACGGTAAAATTGACGAACCTTAACTGCAAACGACAAAAGTAGTTTTTGTTCGCAGATCCTTCTACTTCTTATGGAAGAAAGAAACATATTATAGTGCAAGAATGGGGTTCCTTTATTCCAAATTTTCTAATTCCTTTACTTGATGGAGTTTTAATGCTATGAAATTCTAGGAAATATCCGTCGCCAGTCATTTATTTCAGGCATCTCTGTAGGTCACTTCTTCAAAATAAAAATATTTCGTATTTACCTACTGTCTGTTTTCAGGGAAGGAATACAAGACGGACTCCTTGAAGCTGCAAGATTACTACGCAGTAATCTTTACTTCATTCACCTTTTAATAAGTGAAAACTCTATTTTACAAGAATTGATTACGTGGTTTTCTTCCAATGAGGTAAGAGGAATTATGATTGATATTGGTTCTGTGTATGTATCTTGTTACAAGACGAGATATCTTAGAGTGATCAGTCGTGAACACTGTCACCTGGTACAATACAACACCTCTAAGCGACAGCATACTTAGCCTCCTCCGCAGGCATCATAAAGAATCACGGGCTTCCTGTCTTTTTTGGGAGTTAAAACAGGGAGCATGGCGGCGAGAAAGGGGAGTCACTAGTCCCTTAGCGGTCAAGAAAATTGAAATAAATCTTTACACGATCATCTTATTGTGAAATGCAGATTTTCTAATAATTAAAACTAGTACTTTTTCTTTAGAATGACGATTCATTTATCGTTCAGTCCTACTACCTTCAGTTTCGCCAAAGTGTCAAAAACCTGTTCTGCTACAACCTGTAAGAATATACAATTTAGTATATTGAATTGCATTTATTATTGAATTGAATGTATATTGCAATTACAACTGTTACTATATTAAGTTAAATTGAAAAGAAAATTGAATTGAATGTTTGGCCATGGATGGACATCCGTGTCGAGCCTATGAATTATCTAAACAGCAAAGCAAGATTTTTGAGGGTTAACAGTCTGTTCAAGTCAGTATGCTAGAACCAGGGCGCGAGCTCTAGAACATAGCAAGCAAGCCTCTCCACCCCTCCCCCAAGTCAAATTGTTCGTCGGTAAGAATCATTGATAACATTAAAAACTATTTTATGGATTACTAGAAAAACTAATAAAATGTTTCTTTTTCACTTCTTATAGCAAGGCGCGAGAATTGCATGTGTTCATTTTCAAAACAAACCTTAGTACGCTTTATGAATGGCTACTTGGGGGAGGGGCGGAGAGGTGAAGTTTGGCCGTTGCTACATTCCTTTGAGTTCGAAATTTGTGAAGATCATATTTACAAAGGGGATTTTCGACATTCGTGGTCGATTTTCTCTGTTGATACTGGTCGTTGGGGCTGAAACTTAGCGAGGATGTAGGAAGATTATTATTCTGCAACATACCAAAAGCTTGATTTTGAAGGACCGGCGGAAGGTGGAAAAATTCGGCGTTGAAGTTGACCAATCTACCGGCGGGGAATCGAGGGATATACCCTGTTGAAGACTGTTCTCGTTTGAACAGCCAAACACAACGCATCCAACAGGCATTTCTACAACTGTTTACATGAATCTAGTCTTCTCGATCAAACATTGCGGTGAAACACAGGTAGCCCAAGCACTGCACTTGTCGGCTTTTCTCTGAAGGTCTTGTGGGGAAAACGAAAAATTCAATAAAAGTAGGAAATCTTAAAAAAATGAATTCAAACTCACACAATATGAGGTGGGTTGTCGTACGTATTCCATATATGGTATTTAACTAACAAGCGTATAGAGGCACCTAGCAAGCGAATAGAAGCACCTAACAAGCGAATAGCGGCCCCTAAGGAATCCCAATTTACCGGTGCTATTAGCAATGCAAAATACTTTAAATGTCACAAACAATTCGTTGTTTGCCAGCGTAATCTCTCGTGGTCAAGTTAGTTAAGGAGCTTTACATTTGTAGTCGAAGGGTTAGGTTTAGGGAAAAGGACGGGTCAGGCTATAAAATGTTAAATTCATAATTCTAAGTTAAAATTTGATAGAAAAAATTTTAATAAGTTAAGGCGTAGCTAAAAAGCTCGAATAAGTCGATAAAAAACTGTAGAAAAATATAAAAGTGAAAAAAAAGTATGGACGCTTGTTAGGTGCTTCTATTCGCTTGTTAGATGCTTCTATTCGCTTGTTAGTTTGTGCCATATATGGAATACGTACTACAAACCCGCCTCCACAATATGTTGTTCTTTTAAATTTATTACACATCTATGCGAAGTTTCAGCTCTCTACAGTCAAAAAACTGCTTTTTTTCTTAATGTTGGTCCCCTAGACAATAAATACTACTAAAAAATCTATGAAAACAAGAACGTTGGATGCTCCCTGTCAAGTTTGAACCTTATCCCCATGATGCAATTCGACCGCGCAAGTGAGAAATCTGTGTTTGGGTCTCGAAAAGGGGGCTGTGGCTAGATCTGTGGAGACTTCTACCAAACAAAAATGAAAAATTTCTAAAGACGTGGAGTGGCCGATTTCAAAAAAACCTGGAATTTCGATTTGCAAAAGATGATTTCGACTCTAAAACTGAAGACGAAGAGACGTGATTCCCACCCTTATCCGGTGCACCAAAAGGTCGAAATTTAGGCATTCCTAGTTTTCAGGGGTCCTTTTTGCCTAGATATCGCGGCCGATGTGAAATGTTTCTAACTCTAATATAGAATTTTGTTACTAGCTGTTGTCATGGWGTACATTTGGTGGTCTTCATTTGCGATCTCGGAAACTTACAATTTTTAGAAACATCAATCCTGTAGTACTTATGTAGTACGACATGTACTAGCTACTGCCATTGCCGCGAGAAAAAAAGCTTTTAAGGTTTCTGGTGAATAGAGTCGTAAATCTACTTGTACAAGCACTCCCTCAGCAGTTACCCTGTGCCAGAGAGATAATTTTGGGGCTTGGAGTCCAAGTGAGTTTGAGTCTCTCATTATTTTGATGTGTATATTTTTGATCTACAGGAAAGAGCGTAGCAGTGCCTTTACAGTCGCTGGTAAAGTTTTGCTTGACAGACTAGATGCCCTTGCTGTCTCCTCAAGTTCTCATGCTTGTCAATGCAAAGAGATGATTACGCTTCCACTCAACTCGTATGTAAGTACAAAAACATTATTTTGCAAGATAAAGATATGATAGTTTGAGTGAATAAATATCTAGATGTATATTGAATAAATTAACTAGAAACTGTCATATTTCAGTACTTTGTCTAGGGTTAACCAGTTACCAAGCGATTTCATGTCATGCATGTATGCACGACCTAACTAAAAAACCGTTTTCGGGTTCAAAAATGTTACGTTATTGAAGCGAAGACTATAAGAGACAATAAGAAGATCGATGATTAGACTGGTGTTAGGCAGGAAACGCAGTTAAACCATGAAATAAAATCAAAATAACTGCTAACAAATAGTCTGTATTGAATGTCTAATTAACAATTAGACCTCGAGGTCGAGTGGACTACGAGCTAATAGCCCATGAGGCCGAGTCCGCGAGGCCGAATGGGCTATTTCTTAGCTCGTAGTCCACGAGGCCGAGAAGTCCAATTGTTTTAGTATAAACATACTAATCGGTCAAATAATGAAAACAAATCGAAATATCCTTAAAATAATTTATAATTTATTTATTTTGATTTTCCCGCGAGTGGTCTATCACAAATTAGACCATTTGTAGAGTAGCCAATCACAGCGCAGTATGAGTGATAGACCATTACTGTAGTATGTTTATACTAATAGTTGTATAGTTGTTAGTATCCACCAAACTATGGACTATTAGCTCGTAGTCCTCGCGCCTCCCGGTCCGGCACAGGGAATTCAATTCAATTTCAAAACGCACAGAAGCTCGTTTATCCACTATTGACACAGTCCTAGCGTCCTATAGTGATAATTTAAAATCATGCTTCAAACTGTCTAGCTAAAAGAAAGACGTTTTAGCCTGCGTGAGAAGCTTCTACAATCCATCATGATGATCTACATGATTGACAATAGACACAAGCGCTATATACGTTCTTACCAAAGAAGAACATAAATACATCATGTGCGGACATGATAATCTCAGAAGGCTTCTTCCTTTTAAGTCACGTGACCGAAGATTAATAAGAGGAGACTGTCCATCAGCATAATGTAAACGTTTGAATTCGAAAACGTTTCTTTAGTGAGATGTAGAATGGTACATTGAACTGATATTTGTGTAGTAATTTGATGAGTAATTGTAATTTAATTGTCATGTTCAGGTCCTTAAAGAATTGCAGTCAATAAAAAGATACTGTACAACATTGATGCTTGGTCTCCTTGACGACGTACTCGCTTATTGCCCGACTCTTAGGGTTAGAACTGATACGCAGTTATTATATTTTTCTCACGTTTATCGGGATCGTCCTCGTTTATTGTGGAGGTTGTTGCTGGACAAATTGTGTTGAGCATTAGTTGTGTTCATCAAACCCGAAACCTAACCCATATTTACAGACAGATCGAGATGCTTATTGAACAGTACATTAAGTATTGATGGATGTTATGAGGTATGCACTATAAGTAATGAAGGGGCGTTGAAGAAATAATGTGAGCGACAATGAGGAATGGACGGGTATTTCAAAGTCCGGGTAATTAGCTCCAAGGTTGAAATGCCTCCAGTCCCTATTGCCGACTTTATTTTGGTTCATTGGCCATGCACAAAAGAATTGCAGACGAGGTTCCGGGGAAATAAAATAATATATCAAGATTATCCCATAGTTTTCCCGGAGCCTCGTGTGCGTACACCATAGTCATCGAACCAAAATATCTTTCTAAGTTGACTATTAGAGGACTTTGAACAACTTCTCACATAAAAACACTATGTTGTACTCACTTGGATGCTTAAACATGTATTTATTGTTACTGAAAAAATAGCCGTTTTATGACAGAAAGAAGAAATTCAAATAAAGCTGATTTCCGGTTGATTTCGACGTTAATATAAAAAACGGGCTAAAAAGAGATTACTCGAGAGGTGTAGTGATCTCTTGTGTTTTAATAACTAGGATTTGTAGTTGGTATGGTATTTATAAATGTTTCAGCCAGTGTGTTAATGGTGGGATGATAGTTATGAAGTTTATGAGTTATGGAGTGTTGTGTGATGAACCTTAGTTGAGATGTGATGTATTATTTGTGCAGTATGATTTTGAAGTGGCTAGGGGTGATATGAATTTTTTTTGGAACATATTATCATTGCTTCAGTTCTGACGATAAACTAAACAACCAGCGATAATGTTAATATATTTTTACAGCAGCGTTTTCCTTCAAGCAATTCTGGTGATCATAGTTCAACCGCTTTACACAATTTTCAACATGGTGTCGAATTATCGTCCACTTTGGGCCAGCGCAGTATGTGTAAGTACATTTCCTACTAACATTAGTATGAGCAGTATACGTGTGAGGTGGGAGGCGCGTGTTGTATATTTAGCAATTTGCCATAACCATTGTATGCGATTCAAAACCATTGCATGACACGAATTCATTTATCAGATATGAACAGAGAACAAGCCAAGAAAACGATTTCTTCCCCATCATACATCTCAGATCAAGCGACTATTCTTAAGGTAAATTCCGTGGGGTGTCCTTGTAATAGCAATATATCCTTTATAGGGGAGTACCCTCCGCGTGAGGTAAATGCTCCTCATTAGTTAGGCTACATGTACATGTACAATATACATATGGCACGGTCGTTTCTCAAAGTAATAAAATTTTTGTGCTGGCGCAATATTGTTGTATGCGGTTTATTGCGTCTTCATGTATTGATGACGAAGTTTGTCATGGAATAATTCACAAAAACAACTCTTTTTTACAATTTTTTGCGTTCGGTGTCAGATCCGCGGCATTTAATTAAAATAGGAGGCGACTAACTAGAGAAACAACAGTTAGATTTTAGGCTGTGAAAAATGAGCTCTCTTTCACAGATGAACGCTACATTAGTCATTTTTTAGAATGATTCCTGTTCAGATGTACTTTTTATTCATATTATAAATCAATTTATCGTGATTTACATTTTGCCTAGACACCTTCTTACTAGAGTTCAATACCCTTATCTCTCAAGATCTGCCAAAGATTTAAGGCTGACTGAGCACTTATAGAGTGACTAGTCACATGAAAGCTGTCGCATAAACATTGAACATTTGCATTTCATTGCTATAATAGTATTAACATGATATAATATTAATCAGTTTTTTGTACTTTTGCAGTACTTCATTGATGCAAAGGTCGATCAAACTTTCCAAGAATTCTTGTGTCATGTGTTAAATAGAAGCTCACTTCCGCCCAACCCCTACCCAAGTCTCGTTACTCATCTTTGTTCTGCTGCAATAAGGTAAAACTTTGAAACTTATTTCCAAACACTTAGACTAGAATCAAAATGTTATATAAATAAGAATCTAAAAGACAAAGTAATTACCAACAATGTGGAGCTGTTTTTAACTTTTTTTAGCATAACTTACTAATATTTCAGTATGTGCACAGATTTTATTGTATGTTTTTAATTTGTTTGTTGAGGTGAAATAATCTCTTCTCATTTCTAGAATGGAACTTTTTGGAGAGAAGCAAGAAAAATTACTGTCTCGTCTTGTACCTGGATCCTGCCAGATCATTGACACGCAGAACCATATCTACAGCTGTCCTGGATCAGATGCCTTCGGTAAGTCACATGACTTCTAGAAGAACACACTATTTATTGTCTCGTATTTGAACAGTGTCACCTTGCATAATAAATAAATATTATGTCTAGCGCAGCCCTGCATTTTACATTACGTTTAGTGACGTCTCTAAAGCGGACTAGTCCAGTCCTGGCCTCTCGTTTCCGACGCTCGCGGAATCGCTGGGGTAAGAGAGTCCAGTATAACATGCATGCGCATGTCAGCTTAGCGACCTCGTGATTACCACACCGATGTGGTAATCACGAGGTTACCTAGTCCTATACAATTACCAAGATGGCGGAGAGCGCGGTGGAAGGTAGTTTCCACTTAAAATACAAAGATAATTTTGGACCGGCTTTTCTAAATGCCGTTAGTTATGCCTTAAAAAAATGTAAATATAATTTAAGTCCTAAGTTCGAACAGCTTCAAGCCATTCACGAATTAAAAATTGGAAAAGATGTTTTTGTAAATCTTTGTACTGGCTTTGGAAAATCCTTGATCTATACTCTCTTTCCCTTTGTCTGCGTGCACGTGAAGTAAACAAACCACTGACCATTATAAATTGCGGGCTCTCAAAATTCARCTTTATTCTGATTGGCTGGTCSTGCACATGCGCATGCAAGTTATACTGGACTCTCTTTCCCCAGCGATTCCGCGAGCGTCGGAAACGAGAGGCCAGGACTGGACTATAAAGCGGACATGCTCGTCTGTCTTTAAATACAAATTGTTTAAGTGCACAATTGTTCTTATATAGCAAAATACATTATAAACATTGCGTGAGTTAGGTTGTGCAATATGCTGTGAGTAGATGCATATGCTGTGACTTTCTTGTTAGGTCGGTATGGTAGCATGGTATCACCTTACCCCCGGGCTTTGTAGCATCACTAGCATGCACATTATAGGCTGTAATATGTAACTGCTTTCGATTAAAGGGGTTAAAAGTGCAGTTTCTTGTCTTGACATAAAATGTTACAACGCGTTGCTTCGAAAGCTCAGCTGTATACGCAATACTGTCAGTACGCGAGTCACAGATGCAGGAATTAAGGTGAGTCCGATACATTCAACTTAATTTGATGTAGCTTTGTTCCCTTATGGGCCGACATCCACAAAGGATATCCACTGATAACGACCATCAATTATTCATGAAATCAAATTCTAAACTTTAAAACAAGTTTTATTTACCTCTAATATGCAGATGTATTGTTATTTTGTTCTTTTTATTAGTGAAAATAACATTACCGATATGTTAAAGAATTTTTTTCTGTATTGATGAACAGGCTACAATAGGACTTGCACTCACTGGGTTTACCCCTTTTTATGGTCGCATGATGCCATACATACATCATATAGAACTGGAAGAGCATTACTTCTTGCAAGGACCAATCAACGCTAAAATGGACGTGATCAATTATTTCTCACGACTTGGTAAGTTTAAGAAATGAATTAAAAGAAACTTTAAAAAATGTTTCCCATGGACAATCATGATAATCAACAGCGAGAATGGTGGGTACTAGTGGTAAACTAGTGTGAGCTGCGTCGGTGTTTCTAAACTAAAGAAACAGTTGTGTAAAAAGATAAATATAACACCGTAAAAAAGTAGTTGAAATAACTTACTGACTTTTCGGACGTTAATCCGTCGGAGTAAAGAGATGAGACTGAGCTAAGTGTTTATAAGAGTTTATATAATGAGAGGGGCAAAGAAAGTTGGCCAATAGGAGCGAAGCCCATTTAGTCCATTTACAGGACATCGGATTGCATGGAGACAGTACGTTTCTTTGTGTAGTTTTAAATCTCCATGCGTAACGAAGAAAACTGATCGAGTTGATGTTGAAACATCTGTTGAAAACGTTTGCGCCGGCCTTATTGTAGACTTTTAGTACCAATACATTGCGGTCTTGGTATGCACTAGGCAGCAGTATTCAATGTTTTCAATTCAATGACAGTATGAGATTCAGAATAGGGCTGGTTTTGGTTTAGGTTAAGCATTCCCCAAAGTTTTGATAGCATAATATGTTCTGAAAGAAGGTTTGATGTAGAATGGACGGCTCTATTAATCAGTCCTCAATAATTAGTACCACATGTTTTTCATCTATTTCAAAGGCTATAATCATCGCATGGACTGTATCCTTTGTTTTGCGATTTCTGACCCAGCAGAACACAGTTGAAGAGAGCCTTTTGTCTCAATGCAATCGCTCTTAGAAGCGTTTATTTGCATCTCTTCTACTACAATAAGGCCGCTGACTATATCCTCTCCCATTAAACCAATAATTGACATCTAGAGAAACATCTATGTAATTTTATTATATTGTACAGTCTATGATCATCTTGTTGGAATTGCAGAAGAATCATCCATACTCTTTGTTGGTAAGCAAGGACCATCGTAATACAGCTACCGGACTGAAAGAACTAATCCATCTGTTCACTTGCAGGTCTTTTCTTCGGGCATTTCGACGGTGACGTACGACGTAGTTTGATTGATATTGTCCCCCCTGACAAAAAAATATCGTGTTTGTCTCAGCTTGTGACAAATATAAAAAACGAGAAACCAGTATACATGAAGGTGAATATGCCTTTATTGGCAACTTGTAACACTTAAAAAGTGCATATTTACTCCTGTTCTGTAAGTAATTATGTATAATGTAACTAGCTAAGGCAAATATTATTCGAGTTTTATTGTACCCGGCCAAATCCCCGTCGGCCATTTGTTTTTTTGTTTTTTTTTTTTGGACTCGACAACCTTTTTTTCCTGTAGGAGTAAAGTAATGTCGTCTTGTTTAGGCATATATTCTAATGGACTGGCGATTAGTTCTTGTGAAAAAGTCATTTTTGCTTCACTACATACAAGGACAGTTTCAAGGGTATGCCTTTTGATAGTCCGTAAAAATATCCGTCCACTAAAGCATTTTTATGCTACTGTCTATTGGATTTCAGATATCAACGTTTCTTCAAACCACGTGTGTTGTCTTATTATCAAAACGTCTTTTCGTGTCAATCTGCGGTAAGTGGTCTTGTGAGCAAGCCGTTCTCTTCATCAAGAACAAAGTCCACGAATTTGATGAAGACGTTCTTGGACGTTACCGTCATTCTTAAGAAAGAAAACATGGAAGACATTCGAAAAAAAAATGATTCTGAGAGAGCAAAAATATTTCTGCATATCGAAATTGAAAAGTTTTCAACCCCACGGGCTAAATAAAGGAATGGGTTATTTAAGTAGGTTAAAGACCTGCATTTCTTGGTTCCAGAGACTCAACCCGAGAGTCATGACTTAAATCCGAATTACTAATTGTGTCAATTCTACTTGGCGTACCCTGAAGGGGGCGCAAGCCGTACGTTAGTGGGAGAAAGTTGTAAAATTGGACTGATCTGGAGTTATCTTCTGTACTTTTTATTAGGCTTCATTATTTGCAAGAGCTTGTGGCCCACAGGACAAAAGTGATCCCTTGCAAGGGGAAAGTCTGAGAACGAGTCTGATTCATGTCAATCATTACATAGAGAGGGCCAAGTGTCATGGAGATTTCTTGAATGCATATCGATGGATGCTGATGAAATCTCTAATGTGTCAGGTATGAAAAGGTCGCATTCAATTTAATTTTTTTTTTTTTAATTTAATTTAKTAGCTTTCCCCTAGTATGGGCAGGGACACCGCAACAGCGTGAGCCAATTACTGCGGACCCTGTACTCTTACACTCACTACCTCTACATTAAGTATTTTAGCACACAACACTCCTCATATGTTGATTTTTGCTGAGGGAGGAAAACCGGAGGACCCGGAGAAAAACCCTCGTGGCAAGGGAGAGAACAACACATCAAACAAACTCAAACTCACATATGGTCCGTGTCCGGGAATCGAACCCGGACCACAGCGGTGAGAGGCCAGTAGCTTAACCACTAGACCACCCGTGCCATCCTAATTAGTAATTAGCTCTAATGCTCTAATCGTATTATCATAATATATAATGTTTTTATTACAAAAACATTACATTATTGTAATGTTGATTAATCTTTATTGTTAATTCTTACCAGTCTACTGTCCACGTGGCACAGGCATGGTACATGTCTCACAGTGCGGCTGCTCAGCTTGAGTATTTGATGATTTTGAACGATAGTCTTCAAACCCTTGTTTATGAAGAGCTCAGTAGGACATTTGCTCCATTCAAAGACGAAAAAAAACAAACTGATGTAAGAATGCTGAAGCCAAAGCCATTTTATTAACAGGAAAGTTTAACTGAATCTTGAAATAGGACGCTGACACGATGCGTGACAACTCGTTTATGTTCTAATAAGAGAATAACAATCTTGAGTCGCAAGCGAGAGTTTGTAATTCCCTTCTAGAACTCGTTCTATAAACAAACACATACAACACGGGCGCTAAAGTTGTCAAAGAATTATACAGTGCCAACACTGCTAAACATGAATAATGACGAAAAAATGACAAATAAGTTAACTCTTTTGCTCAGTCGCTAATAAGCATATGTAGAGCCTCCCCTTTTGTCGGGCTTCCTGTCCCAAGCCCGACAAAAGGGGAGGCTGCGAAGGAGACTAATCTAAGAAATGTAAAATGTCTATGTAGTTTTTCTGTATTATCCATTATTTTTGCAGTCCTTGCTAGATATGAATGTTCTTGGTGATATGATGCAGGCATTTTGTCAGAAACTGGACGAAGTGCTACAGCGGGGTACATGTATGACACCCAGTGGACTGCTAAACATCTTGCACGGTATAAAAAAAACAGTATCTTCTCTCTTGTATAATATTTTACATTAGATTATTAAGGGAACTTTTGATTAGCGAAATCTTGTCGCGCACCACTGTTACTGTTATTTTATTTTATTAACATGCTGATTATTTTATTAATATAATTGATGATAAATATTATTTTATCTTATTTTGAATGCAACTTTTTTTATTTCACGGTAACAATCATAAAATAATTACACAATTATTGTTTAGAAAAATTCTGCCTTGCTACGGAAAAAGGAAATCGGTCAAACTCTTTACAACTGAAGATAACTGAGCAGGTAGTATTTCTATGTGGAATTACTTTTAACATGACTATGACTACGTGATCATAAATGATTTTTTTCTAGACTCCAATGGTACTACAAAGCATCAACGAATTTCTGCAGCCTCTCTTGCATTCTTCAGCAAATGACATACACCAAGTGTGTCGGCATACCGATGTTATGGAGGAAAATTGAACTGATATATCACATATCAGGTTTTAGATTAGCCCAATATATCCGTGTCCCTAATGGTCCTACTGATGTTAAGATGACCAACTTTTTTTGTCCAATAAAAATTGACTCCTACTCTTGATGCATAAGTCAATAGTTCTGTTAGAGACACTTTTAGATTATTTGAGCAAGGCTAGATATATATATTAGGTACAACCTCCTTAACCGCTAACTTCTGATCGTTCTCTGGGAAACTCTTACTCTTAAAACTTCATACCATAGCAAATAAAAATGTGATATAATATGTACGTTTTTACTATTATAACAAATAAAAAAGACTTGTTCATTCAAATAGTCTCTTGTGTCTTGCTCTTTGTATCATGTAAACTGTTCTGGTTCACTGATAACAAATATTAGTTTCTAATCTCTAAATGGCCGTTCGGATTTTTTTTCTTTTGTAATAAGTTTCCACATAGTTAGTAACTTTCTTTCCTAGTTCCTCATTGTTAATCCAAGAGAACAACATGACTAAATCCAAGTTTTTCAAAAGTTACAAAGTTATCATATCACTTCAAGTGTTTTGTCATATTGCTTTCTGTGTAGAATGATTCGATATGACTGACTTGAATACCCTTGGGACTTCTTAACTTGTTTGACCGGACAAAACAAACATTTCAAATGATCTGGTCTTACCTTTATGATCGGAAGTATTAGCTGATACATATTTTACTAATTTCGTGATCATGTCTAAGAAGCAGCCATTACTTTTCTAGCAATGGAAATGTCAGCACAAGAATATAGCGGCTACTAGATATAGCTAGGTATATGTAGTGAAGCTATTTTACAAATCCTCACTTTAACACACCTTAACTACGCGTGTTATGAATTACCTTCAATGTCTAGATTTTTCTAACTTTATCACCTATGTTCTCAGTTAGTAAAAATGATCATAATATTAATAAATAATGATATTAATTAGTGTAAATTATCAGTTTTATCTTCTAAGTTGAAACTGTAGTTGAACACTGACATCTTAGTTAAGAGACATAGAGCGGATTTCGTATGAGTGGGACATTGTTACCGCATGGTCACCGCACAGTTACCGCACCTGGCCTGCACAATTTTGGTGAACCAATGGGGCACTAGAATTTGGTTACAGTACGATTACGGTCACAGTACAGTACCGTCCGTTTCCCACTCATACGAAATTCGCTCTATTATGTGGTGCTTGTACATCATTCTTCTCCTCTTGAGGTTTATTTTGAGGGTCTTCAAGCAAAGGATGAAGGGCGCTGTTGGGTGTGTTATCAAGTACGTCTCCGTTTTTCTACTATTTGATTTATAACCAATTACACAGCTTTGAGTGATAGAATTCGTTCGAAAACACGTTGTTTTCTGGAGTCATTAAATTAAAAGTGCGTCTTGTCTTCATTTTTAGTTTAGATGTGTCTTGATTTTGAAGCGAGCGCAAATAAATAAAGTTTCTTAAACGCGTTTTATTTGCGTATTGTATGGTTATTCTAGTTTTAGTGTCTTTTGTCTTGACTATGCAGCAGCGCAAATAAAAGAAGATTCTCAAACGCTTTTTCTTTCGTATTGTGGTTATTTTAGATTTATTTGTGTCTTTTGTCGGTTTTGCGCCAGCAGCTCAAAGGAATAAAAGCTCTGAAATCATTTTACGTGCGTTTTTGTTGTTATTTTAGCTTTAGCTGTGGTTTGATTTTTTTAAAGCAAAGTACCGTATTTACTCGAATAGACGCCGCGGCGTTTATTTCATTTTTCACGATCCAGCTGTGGCGTTTATTCGAAGGCGGCGTCTATTCGGGGGCGGCGTTTATCAAAAAGACACTTTATTCAGTACTACATACCGTACTTTATATTGTATCTTTTTACTAACAAACAGTAACGAATCTCAATATATAAATGTCGTGTTCATTTTGTCTATTCACTTTATGATATTAACCAGAGTTAAACTTCTATTTCAATATCAATGTCCTCCTTGTGGTCGGAATCTAAAAGCTGCTGAGATCAAACAAGTACAGTCACTTCGAAATAAAAAATGTTCTCAGAGAAAATAAATTCCCATTGCTGGTATCATTATTTCCTCAAATTGACGCCGTACCCAGATGCCCTGCGGCGTCTATTCGGGGGCGGCGTCTATTAATATTTTGAGCTTTAAGTGCGGCGTCTATTTGAGGGCGGCGTCTATTCGGTGAAGGCGTTTATTTGAGTAAATACGGTATTCTGCTTGAAAAGCACGATACTATGTCATACCTCACCGAATTCCTATGTCTTGTCTAACTAAGCACTAACCAATCCCTATTTGTCACTATCTATTTCACGTGTATATTATTTGCACTCTATCGAACTGACTTCCCTATCGAATACGAATCGAAATGACTATTTCTATATAGGGTGAGCTGAATATCTACGTAGTCAATCGAATGCGTATCGAACTGATTTATCGCACTAGGTAGACTTTGATACTCTTCCAGACACGTTAAACTATCGGACTAGGTACACTATGATACTGTACCGCACACGGTAAACTATCGCACTAGGCAGACTATGATACTGTACCGCACACGGTACACTATCGCACTGGGTAGACTATGATACTGTACCGGACACGTTACACTATCTCACTAGGTAAACTATGATACTGTACCGCACTCGGTACACTATCGCACTAGGTAGACTATGATACTGTACCGCACACGGTAAACTATCGCACTAGGCAGACTATGATACTGTACCGCACACGGTACACTATCGCACTGGGTAGACTATGATACTGTACCGGACACGTTACACTATCTCACTAGGTAAACTATGATACTGTACCGCACTCGGTACACTATCGCACTAGGTAGACTATGATACTGTACCGCACACGGTAAACTATCGCACTAGGCAGACTATGATACTGTACCGCACACGGTACACTATCGCATTAGGTGGACTATGATACTCTACTGCACACGGTACACTATCCCACTAGGTAGACTATATTACTGTACCACACACCGTACACTATCCCACTAGGTAGACTATGATACTCTACCGGACATGGTACACTATCGCACTACGTAGACTATGATACTGTGCCGCACACGGTAGAAAAAGGTACTTTACAGCACGCGGTACACTATCGCACTAGGTAGACTATGATACTGTACCGCACACGGTACACTATCGCACTAGGTAGACTATGACACTGTACCGCACACGGTACACTATTCCACTAGGTAGACTCTGATACTGTACCGCACACGGTACACTATCGCACTAGGAAGACTATGATACTGTACCGCACACGGTAAATTATCGCACTAGCTAGACTATGATACTGTACCGCACACGGTACACTATCGCATTATGTGGACTATGATACTGTACCGCACACGCTACACTATCCCACTAGGTAGACTATGATACGATTTACTGCGATTTCAAGGATATTCAAGGAATCAAAACTTTAATTTCAAGTATATGAAACGACCTGTCTATATGCCCGGCTTCTGGGTAAACAGTGGCAGTCGAAATGTTCCGCAATAAAATGAGTGTCATTGAGCAAATGTCCGTTTGTCCTAGGGTGGTTTTTATACCTCTCACAAAATGATAAACTTCCCTTACTGCGTGGAAACCACAATGAAAAAAGGATAACATTATATGAACAGAACATAAGTTATCTGGTCTTGCATGATGAGCTTATTAGTCTTCATCAAAATCACAATCAGTTTTTAGATCTTATAAGTTAAAAATGTGAAGACAACATTCTTAGACTTGAACGAGCTTCACAGAGCAAAGTGAACAAGGATATCTGATGTAATATGTAATTTTTCGGCCTACATCAAATTGCGAAACGAAACGAAACGAAACAATTACAATTATGACGTCACACTTGTTACCATGGATACAAAACGAACCATAACATCACAGGAGATCACTGTAACGCCTAGATATGATATCTAACTGGTTATATCTAGATATAGTAGATATTTATCAT